GCAGAGTGGGCACCCACAGCCCCCTAGGGATTTCTCAACTCTCCCAGCAGGCCTGGCTGCATCTGGCCACCCTGCCTCAGACCCTGGTCTAGACTGGTCAGCAGGTGACCTTTGGCCGGCTCACCGGGCCCTCAGTGCCCGCTGCCCTGGGGACGATATAAAACAGGTCAGAACCCTCTTGTCTGTCTATTCAGTTCATCCCAAGAGGCAGCTGCTCCAGGTAATGCCCCCTGGGGAGGGCAGAGGGAGGGAGACGGGGGAAGGAAGCAGGATGGAGGGGTCAGAGGGGGTCTCTGCTGGGCCCAGCCACGAAGCCGGGAGGGAGAGCTTGCCTCAGGGGTGTTTGTCACCCCCTTCCAATGCAGACTGGAGTAAACCAAGCCCAAAGCTACACAGTGTGGAGGCAGAACTGGGGGGACTGGCTCCATATCCACCCTCATGCTGCACGTTCCGGGCCAGAAGCGGCTTTATATGGCCTGCTCCTTCCCCAGGCAGAAAAACTGAGGCTGACAAAGGGGCAGGGATAGAACCCAAGGTGCTCAGCATGTTAGTGGCAGAAATCAGGCCCGAACCTTTGATTCCCGGTCTGAAGGGGTTTCTGCTCCATCCTACCCATTCCCTCTCTCTTGCCTGGGTCACCCCAAATTCCCTGGCTGAAAGCTCTTCCTCTCTCCAGATTAGCCTGGGAGCAGGTTACCTCTTCTCCTGGCTTCACCCAACTCAGGGGCAACCTTAAAGGCCACACCACTTCTCCAGGAAGGAGCTCAGAGGCAGGGCTTGTGGGGGGGACTTGGGGGTACCACTCACCGGACACTTCCTGGCAGGAACAGACGTGCCATGCAGCCCCGGGTCCTCCTCGTTGCTGCCTTCCTGGTGCTCCTGGCCTCTGCCCGTAAGCAGCTTGGGGCTGGGCTGGGGGCAAGGTCGGGGAGGCAAGCTTGGGAGGTGGCTTGGGGACGCTGGGCAGGGTTCCCTGGGGCTGATCACCCCACTCAGTCCTGCTCTGCCCACAGGAGCTTTGGAGGAAGACGATGCCTCCCTCCTGGGCTTCATGCAGGGCTACATGGAGCAAGCCACCAAGAAGGCCCACGATGCTCTGAGCAGCATGCAGAGCTCCCAGGTGGCCCAGCAGGCCAGGTATGCATCACAGTCACTTCCCTGTCCTAGGCGTCAGCTCACTCAGCTCCCACCTGCCCCCAACTTGGCGAGCACCTGGCAGTAGACCAGGCAGGACCACGTTCTCGTCTATAACCTGGGGTTCCTCGCGGGGCTTCCTTAGGCTCCTGTGAGGGAGAGGACAGAGACTGGACTCCATCCCCCCTGCAGCCTCCAGGCCACCCTCTCCTTCATTGTCCCTCCACCTCCCACTCCTCTAGCACGGGCTACCTTTCCTCAGCAGAGGCGTTCACACTCAGTATTTGGTTTCCCATTTTGCCAATGAGAACATCAAGACTCAGAGAGGTTAAGTCACCTGCTCCAGACCACACAGCTAATCAATCCTCTGATGTTTTTCCAACTGAGAGAGACTGTCTCCCCTGCCCAACCCTGTCATTGGGTTGGCAACACTAGGGGGTGCCCTTCACCCAGGACAGCACAGCCCTGAGCTTACATCTCCCCACTCAGCCACTCCTCTCCAGCTTGCTTCCGGCCCTGACGATACAAAGTTTCACCCCAGCCTGGAGAAATGTGGGCTGGACTGATGCTGGGGTCCCATCACCACCCCGGCAGCTGTCTGTCTGGGGTGACAACTGTAGGGGGTCCCTGCTGGAGGTCTCAAGGGTGTGGCTGGGTGAGGTTGAGCAGATGGAGGGAGATGCCATGTGGATGTGAGGGGGCATGGTTGTGCAGCCTACAGACAAGCTCTCACCCCCACTTCTGTTGCTGTTCCTTCCTGATTTAACCCCCAGGGGCTGGATGACAGGTGGCTTCACCTCCCTGAAAGACTACTGGAGCACGTTTACGGACACGTTCTCCGATTTCTGGGATCCTGCCCCTGAGGCCACACCAGTTGTACCTTCTGAGGATGTCTGAGACCTCAACACCCCAAGTCTGCCTGCCCATCCATCCTGCCAGCTCCTTGGGTCCCATGACCTGCAGGGCTGACCATAAATCACTGGAAGGGACAGTGTTCTCAGTGCCCCCCACTTCCCCCAGCCCCAGCCCACCCCCAGGCGAGCTATCCTCCTAATAAAGCTGGACAAGAAGCTGCCGTCTGCGGGGCGTGCCATGTATGTGTGGGCATGAGACTGGGTTGGGGCTATGTGGTGGGCAGGCCTGGACCTTACCTACCTCTTTCTAGCTGGGTGGCATCCAGGTGAGTTTCTTCACCTATAAGATAGGAATGACCCTACCTACCCGGCCTGCCTCAACACATTTGTGGGCAGGAGCAAACCAGCTAATCATTTTGAAAATGCTCTGATAAACTGTCAAATGCTGTACAACATGGCTGGAGTGTGTGCTCTATGCCAGCCATGGTTCTGGCATTTTTATGTCATCCTTGGCGTTGAGATGGGCATGTTCACCAGAATTATGGAGCTGACTCATACCACCCTGGCTGCCTGGCCCTCCCAAGCACATTTGAGGAAGGGGGTCAGATGGGGTAGTGGTTGGAGTAAGGGCCGATACAAGTCTCGGCCCTGTCACTCTACAGCAGCCTTACTTTCTGTTACTTTCTGATCTGTCAAGAGAACAGAGTCTGGTAAAGGACTGCCATTGTCGCTAATGACTGAGCTGATTGTCTTCTGGGAACCAGGATTGCCTTTGGGGTAGGTGGTCAGTGTCCTGTAAGCCAAGGAAGAATACAAGTTCACCCCAGCAGAGACTGGTCCCTGTGTCCCCCACATCCAATAGATGTTCATGCTAGAGAGTTCCAGAATCAGAGTACTTGACCAGCCCCTCCCCACTCCCACCCCACTCCTGTGATGAAAAAGCCAGGGTGCAGCAAAGTGAAGGCACCGGCCCAAGGTCACAGCATCCCAGGCCGCAAGCTCAGGTCAGCTGCACATATGCTTTCTGCTCAGATGACACAGAAAGAAGTTTGGTTACTCTTACGGCAGGTGTCAGAGGGCACAGGACACATCTTGGCTTCATATATCTAGCCCCAACTCAAGACATCTGTTCTTTCTCTCTGGAAATCTACTGGGATTTTTCTTCTGGCCCAAATGGGTCCTGGATCCCAGCACCCACACCTAGAAAATATTTTCACCCAAATCTGAGCTGACACTTGCTGCTGGTGCTCTGGATGGTTAGAAATGAAAAAGGCCACTGCTCTGGCCAACAGGTTATTGAGATAGACTGGAAATGGACAGAGGAAAGGCAGATTATCCAGCATCCTGCACCAGGGGGCAAAAGGCCTGAAGGGGAGCAGGCAGGGAAGGTTCCATGAAGATGCTTCTTAGCCATGTACATGCACATGGGGGTGTACACACTTGAGTGTCAAGGAGGAGCCAGCTGTGGACAGGAAGCTATGTGAAAATGTGTGTGTATGGGGGGGGTGTGTACACTCATCCCAACTTGAGTGCCTGGCCACATGCTTTTAGTTTTTTAATAATCTGAATGCCCAGTGGGCAAATGGGTCTGAAAAGGGCAATCCAGTATCTTCAGCCTTGGCAAGCAACTTCACATCTTCATTTTTGGCCTCCTCATGCACACCATGGATTTAGCGGCACCTACCCAGGGCTCAGGGAAGAATTCAGGGAGATGACAGATACAACAGCATCTTGGAAATAAAACATGCTAATTACCTGTAAGAGGTGGTGGTGATTCTTTTTTTTAAATTAATTTATTTATATAAGAACTGGGGTACAGGCCAGATGCGCAGGAGAGCAAGAGGGTTCACCAGAGACAGAGCGGGGAGCAGAACAGGCAGACTGACGAAATACACTGCTGAGGGGAGCAGCAGGCGAGACAGGAGAGGTCTGCCGCGCCATGTGGGACCCTTCCCGGTGGGCCGGCATGGAACCGGCACCGCAGAGGCTGTGGACAGCTTCACAGCGCTGCGCTCAACCACCTGCGCCACCAGGGGAGGCCCGGTGGTGATTCCTTTTTCTTACTCAAGTCAGAGCTGGCAGAAAGAGGGGGTGGCAGGGCTTGGAGCCCCTGAGTGGGATGGCTGGCTTGCACAGCTGTCCCCAGGAAACAGTCCAGGGTAGAAGTGCTTTTGTGCCAAAAAGAGAAACGTTGAAGGAAGCATTTTTTGAATTCACAAAGGAGGAAGGAGCAAGCTCCAAGCTCTTCATCTGAACTTGCTGGGACCCTTCCCATCCCAAAGCTCTCTGTGAGCCAGTCCAGGGCCACTGTGCACACCTCTGGGAACAAAGACACCCACGCCCCCAACAAAGCCACGCCTGTCTCCTGAGCCCCTCAGACAGGACTTACTCCACTTCTTGTTTGGGCTCTTTCAGGGTGCTGACCCTGGCTTATCTGTCGCTTTGCCCATTCCTCTGTGATGTCCGTCTGTGCCGGCTCTCTGAGGAGAGGGGTCCTAAGCAGCCAGGGCCTGGCAGACCGGCGCTCCCTGAGAGGCCCGCATTTATGCGCCAGAGAATCAGTCAACACAAGGCCTCCCCGGTGGTGCAGCAGTTGAGCACCGGGTTGCGAAGCTGCCCTCAGCCTCTGCAGCGCCGGTTCGATCCCCAGCTGCTCCCCAGCCACTGGAGGAGGGTCCCACATGGCGCGCAGACCTCTCCTGCCGCCCGCTGCTCCCCTCAGCAGTGTACTTCGCTTCTGCCTGCTCTGCTCCTCGCTCTGGCTCAGTGAATTCTCTCACCCTCCCGCGCTTCTGACTGTACCCAGTGCTTGAATGAATGAATGAATGAATGAATGAATGAATGAATGAATGAATAAATAAATAAATAAATAAATATCTTAAAAAAAAAAAAATCCATCAACACAGGCAGCCCCGTGCGTGGACCAAGGCCCAGGCCGCTCCCAGAGCATCCCCTGCAGCGGTCGGCACCCTGGCCCCCAACCTCCCCAAAGAAAGAAGCCACGTCCCACTTTGGAAATGTTTATTCTAAGAAACAGAAAGATGCAAACAGGAACCCCAAGGAGTCCCTCCCCCCAGCTGGGGTTCCAGGCCTAGAGGAGTCGCAGGGGCGCCCGGCTTCTCACGCGGCGCTCAGCTGCTTCTGGGCGTCTTCGACGGCGGTCAGGAAGGCGGCCTTCAGGCTCTCGAACAAGGGCTGTAGGTCCTGGCGGACGTTTTCCAGCGCGGGCTTGGCCTTCTCGCCGAACGCCTTCAGATGCTCAGCGGCCTTGGCGGGGTACTCGCCCAGGCCCTCCTTCTTGAGCTCCTCCAGGCGGCTGGCCAGCATCTGGCGCGCCTCCTCGCTATAGGGGGCCACGCTGGCTCGCAGCGCGTCCACATGGGCGCGCACGCCCTCGCGCAGCTTCGCGTTGAAGGGAGCCAGCTTCTCCTGCAGCTCCTGCAGCTTCTGGCGCGCCTTCTCCCGGTACTCCTCGGTCAGCGGCGCCACCTTCTGGCGGTAGAGGTCCAGCTCCGCCTGCACACTGCTTTGGAAGTCGTCCAGGTAGGGCTGCACCTTCACCCTCACCAACTCCACGTCCTTGTCCAACGCCTGCTTCAGGCCCGCTGCGTCCTTTTCGAGTTTATCAAATAGGTCCTTGGTGGCTGGGTTTATCTGTTCACGCAGCTTGGAGAGGGTGGTGCTCAGAGTGTCCCAGTGGTCGGCGAGATGCAGGCTGAAGGGGAATGGAGAGGGAGGGAGTGGCTCAGGAGTGGCCTCCCCGCAGCTGCAGGCCCAGAGCCTCAGCTGCCCCGCGGGGAGGTCTGGGCAACACCTGCCCTGAGTGTGCAGTGGAGGTAGGCCACGCCTGGGCTGGGCTTCTCCTGTGTTTTCTCATCCAGTGCCCCCTCCCTGCAGTTGTACTGACATACTGAGGCTCTCGGGAAACAGCCGTGTTTGGTGCCCAGTCTTGTCTGCCCCAGAGCTGGGCTTTTTAAGAACCTCATCTTTATGTTCCCAGTCCACTCTCTTCCCTGAAGACAGCCAGCCCCGTGGCTGGGCAGGAGCAGGGGAGGTAGTGAGGGATGGCAAGGGGCTTATGGCACATGCACGTGAAGCCTGGAGCTGTGAGGATAGGCGGCAGCACAGGCCTGTCCTCACTGGGGGGCTGTGGCATTCCAACATTCCTGTTACTCCATCCAGGCCTTCTGTGGGGCCATCAAATAGCAGGAAGGGATTTGGCCATCTGGCTACTACACCTTCCTCCCTTTTCTAGGCCTCTTTATTCCCCAGGGCCTGTCACCCCTGCCCCCACTCCCCACACCCCAGCTGCATCCTTACTTGAGGTGTTTTCCCACACTGGAGGCGTCAATATCGGCCAAACCGTTTCTGCCACCGTCCTTGGCTGATTCCACAAGCGTAGCGATCATGTCCTTCACTTGCTCCCAAGAGTACTGGGGCACATCTTGCTGCATGAAATGCCGAGCCTGGCTCCCTGGGGGCAAAGGGGGAGACCTAGATCAGGCCAGTCCTGGGCTGACATCTGAGCTGAAATGCCAGGCTTGGTGGCAGGGTAGATGGAAGACTGAGTAATGCTCCCCCCCTGTGCCGGGAGGGTGGACCAAAGGGGCTTAGGGGAAAAGCCACTCACCCCCTCACACCCCCCGGCACTGCGTGGTTGGCTCCCTAGGTTGGAGGGCACCTACCCGTGAGGAAGAGCACGGCCAAGGTCAGCACCACGGCTTTCATCCTGATGGATGTGAGCGACCTGCAGGAGAAGAACCTGGCTGAGTGGACAGGCCTCTAGCAGGGAGAAGCCACATGTTCCTCCACTCACTGCAGCTAGGGCAGCCTCAGGCATCCTGAGCCCCAGCCTGGGGCAGAGTCTGGAATTGGGTTCCAGAGCCCAAGTCTCAAACACCAGAGCAGGGAGGCTCAGAGAATAAGGGGGAGCAGCAGCAGCACTTACCTCCAGTGTCCAGCGGCCTCTGAGCGCCAGCTCTCCCAGGCCCTATTTATGTCTCCAGGCAGGGGCCGGGCTGCAAGGCTGATAAGGCCAGCCCCGTCCCTGCTGCAGCTCACTGGTCCTGGCCATGTGGAACTTAGAGTTCAAGGATCAGCACTGTCCCCGGGGCCAGGCAAATAGAGTGGGCAAACAGGAAGCTGTGGGGGCTGCATGGCCAGGGATCAAGGGTTCAGTGGGGGTGGGAGGCGTTGTTGCGGGTGTGCTGGTCCCCGGCATCGGAGTCACCTGCCCCATCCCCTTCTCTTCCACAGCGGATGTGTGCTGTCATTGTTCATGGCACCAGCGTAGCAGGGGAGGGGAGGAGGGAAGAGACACGTGCTGGCCCGGGCCGGCTCCTCCACTCAGGAGAGTCCCCCTTGCATCCCACAGAGATTATTTCACACCCACCCTGGCCCCTCCACCACCCAAAAAGCAGGCAGTCCTCGCACCAGCAGTTCTTCCCATTTCTTCTCCTAACAGGGCCTCACAGCCTCTCCCAAGCCCTTGCAGACCTTCCGGACCTGTAATCTGAGGGAAGCTGTGTGTGCCAGGCAGCTGCCCGGGAGAGTGGGGGTGCCCAATGGCTCCCAGACTTTGAGATTTCAGAACAAATTCTGACCTTTCAGAACAAATTCTAGCAACCAATGCAGAGTTAATCTTGTCACCTAAAAATTACCCACTGGCCGCCCCCAGCCCCGACCATCTAAGTGACCAGCACTTCACAACAGGAAAGATTTTTAACACCAAAAAAGGCATCATGGCAGAATAAAGGGGAGTCACTTAAATGGAAAAATGTGTCTGTTCATATGCATGTTGGGCTGTACACAGGTGAGCATCCAGGGTCCTGGTGGGAGAGAGAGACCGATGGAATAGAGGAGCCGGAACCTGGTTTCTCACTTCGTTTTGTCTCCAACTTGCAAAATCCTGGAGGAGGATCATGAGCCAGTTACATCGCCTCCCTCTGTCTTGTCAGTAAAATGGAGACGAGAATGGCCAGGGCTTTTGGGGACCAGGTAAGGTCCTGTCAGTGCGAAGTGCTGAGTGTCTGCTGTGCTCACAGCACCGCTTGGTAAGGCTTCTTGTGGAAGACCCAGGACCTCCAGCCCAGGTCACTGACGAGCTGAGTCACAGAACCGGTGAGTGTCCAAGCGGAGGACACTCTAGAACAGCTGCTCCAGCTTCTCCACACCACCATCTTCCCAATGAGGAACCTGAAGAGAGCTGAGGAATTTACCCAGTGTCTGGTCTCCCAGTTAGAGGCAGGCCTGGATTTAGAAACCAGGTCTCTGGACTTAGGACTCAGGACAGAAATGTGTCTTGAGCCATCCACCCGGGAAACTCCGTGGGGCTGCTGACGGCCAGGTCCTGGAATGGCTGGGCCCTGGGCCTATCCCCTCAGAGAAGAGAGTTTTGGAGTCTTGACTGTCTTAGGTTTGAATCCCAGCTCTGCCGATATTAGCCGTGTGGCCTTGGGCAAGTTCCTTAATCTCCCCACACCTCACTTTCTTATCTGTTAGTAGAATAGGCTCTCTCCTCAGTAACAGTTGACAGGCAGAATCTCGTTTTCCCCCACTCCCCAGACCGTCATGTCCGGATCCCTGGAAGCCAGGGCTGTTCCCTTACATGGCCAGCGGCACTGTGCAGATGGGAGTAGGAGGACCTGGAGATGGGGTGTTAAGCTAGGACCTTGAGGTCCAGAGGTAGGACCTTGGCTTCTGGCAGCAGCAATGGGGGAAGGCAGGGAATTGCCTTTTATCTGCTTGGCCCTGACTTGCAGAGGCTCAGGCAGCGAGGCACCTCTGTGGGACCCTGCATAGAGGGAGGAGCTTCTGTGGCCAGCCCTGGCTTTGAGGAGGGGGAACTGGTCGTCTTCTGGGGCCGCTCTTGGTGTCTCAGCCCAAGAGAGGTCCCTTTCTTTTTGGAGGTAGAGCTTGTCCCAGTCAGTTGTAAAGGGATCTCGGAAGCCTACCGGTTAGGTACCAAGATACTTGCCACTGTTTAACTCCTTAGTTTCTTATGGAAATGATAAGTATGGCTAAACTTAATATCCAGAGTCTTAATGGCCAAAGCATGCTCATGTCAGTCCCGCAGGCCAGGTATTTTTCATGTTATCTTGGCTGTGAGAAGGGTGCAGCTAAGCGCTCTCCAGAGTCCTTCAGTCATTAGGATTTGGTGTTGGTAGAACTGGGGATCAGGAAGCCTTCTAGATCTTTGATGGTTGCCTGTTGGCAGCTCACACCCCATCGCCTTGCCCCCATTCCCACAGCTGCTGTGCTCTGCCCAGAGACCTCAGCTTCGTGGTTCTGGGTTCAAGGCATTGGGCCAGGGTCCGCTGTTTGACAGCTTCTTGCCCTGCAGGAGCGCCTCTTTCTATATTCTGACTCACTAGTGTGTCTACTCCATCTCACCTAAGAGATCTGACTTAAATTAGCCCAAATTCCTTATTACTAACACTTTTGGAAAGGAAATCTTTCTGGACAGAGGCCTGTGGAAAAGCCACCAGCAGGAACAATCAGAGGGCATCTCAGAATCAGCCTCAAGGGGCAGCCAGCCATGGTTTGAGGCATCAAATGGGCCAGCTATTTAGTGGGTGCAAAGCCCACCAGGTAGGCCTTAGTTCCACCACCCTCTTTCCCTGATTTTAGGAGTCTCCAGAGTATTTAGGGAGTGGGAAGTGGGTAGCCAGCTCCGGGTCCCCTGACTATAGCTAGGGCCCCTGACCACAGGAGTGGATGTTGCTCAGAATGATTAGCAACTCATTTCACAATTTGTCCCAATGCCGTACTCAGTTGTCTGCTCCGGAAGGACTCTGTCCCCTGCTAGGCCTGGCACATACCAGACACTCAACAAATATTTGCTCAATGAGTGGCACTGGCACACTGAAGGGTCACCAGGATGGTACAGGGTCATCTGAAGGAGGGGGCCTTGGCAGGAGATTCAAGATGCTCGAGCACTGACCCTGTATTCTCGACCCTGCTCAGAACATTTCATGAAGAGCATGTGGTGCAGGTCAGGATGGGAGACTTGGGTTGGGAAGGTTCCCAATGAGTAGGGAAGAAAAGGAGGGTGCCCCACCATATTTTCTATTTTGAAGCAGCTCCTGGTGACAATTGAGACCCGAGGGCAGGGCATTGTAACCAATCAAGTGCAAGGTTCTCATCTGACCTCCTGCATGCAGACTAAGGTCAAGACAATGGCCTGGTTCTTTGGGAGGCATGCCAGTGTCTGAATTCTTGATCTATGCAGTTGGAGTGGGGTGGGGCTAGCACAGGTCAGAAAGACCACATTGGGATGTTACTCTGGCTTCTATTTTTCTGAACTCAGATCTCCAGGCTGATAACCAAGAGGCAGCGTGGTTTCCTCGAAGCTCATGCTACTTCTGGTCAAAAGTGACCTGGCTGCCTTCAGGAGGGAGTGGCACCTATTGCAAAGGTTGTACAAGTTGCTGGAAGGCATCTGAGTCTATCCGTTTAGTTTTGAGACACACAGACTTCCATGCAAGTGGGTATAGACTCAACTTCTAGAAAGCTCTTCTTGAGAAAACTTGCTCCATTCTAAACAGTCTCACAGCAACTTTCTCATCCACCTTGGACTTTTGCAATTTCCCTCCTCTCCCTCTTTTTTCTCTATTTCCAGCTTCAGTAATCTTCCTTCACAGAAGGCTTTCAGTTAGCTGCCCCTTAGCCATGCCTGGGATCTTGCTGGAAATTCTACCTTGCCCTTTGGAGTCCAGGTGTGGAAAAAGGGGAAAGTTGTGGGAAAAGTCCCGTATTTATCCTACCACTTACTTGATGATCACCAGGATGATCGGGGATCTATAAAGGTCTTGGCCTGTGCTGACTCTTTGAGGATCTCCTCCACACCTTCAAAAATACCTTCTCAAGGATCTGCTTTCCATCTGACTCAGCAAATGCAAATGCAGCCTTCGGAGGGGCCAGAGTCCAAGCTGGGTGCCAGAGAACACTGGTAGAGCTGAGTTCAGGCTGCCGGAAAATGCTAGTTTTATAAGGTAGAGTGAGATCATGGATTGCTCAAAGTCCCACCCCGAGCTTGGTAGACTTCTTCAGCCTCCAGCATTCTGGTTTCCACCCACTTGGATGCTTCTTTCATCCAGGTAGATATTGCGAACCACTAGGCAAATATATATCAACATCGGCTCATAATCAAGTTTTTATTTTCACAACCCCCTACTGTCCATCTAAGTTTTAAGCCATAGGTAAGGTACCCACAAAAAAAGACTAAAGGTCTTATGGCACCTTGGGTCTGAAGATATTTTTAATCCTTTTTTAGTTCAACATAAATGAGAAAGAAAAAATACTTCTGACATTTTCAAAGAACAGAAATAGGAAAGTATATTCATATACATTCAACATATACTGCGCATATTGGTTACTACAATACAAAGCAATGATCTTTTAAAAGTGTAGTTCGCAAGATGGCACGGTTAATAGGCTCACTGGCTTTCATCTGGGTGGTTGCTGCTCTTCCATAAATACAGTACCATGTAAACAGAACAAGCTGAGCGCGCGGGGAGTGGGGGCAGTCAGGGGGCTTGGAGTTGGAACAAGCCCAGAGGAGTCAAACGGTAGCTGTTGGGGCTTTCTTGGAGCCTCCTTCCGGTGAGTAGTTGGTGGCCTCACCCTGTGGAGTGGAGACTGGGGAGCGTGGAAACACGGGACTGATCCCAAGAAAGGCTTTTGCACTGCAGAAATCCACTCGAGGGCTACTGTGGTCCAGGAGCTGAGCTGCCGATGTCAGTGAGAAGGACAAGCCACACAGGGATCCTGTCAGCAACATCAGGATGGCCATGCTGGGCACCCGCTTTCTTGTGTGCAAATTCAGGATGAAAGATGAGGAGGAGGCCGGGGACCTGGGATTCTCCTCTGCCAGAAAAAAGGATCGAGAGTCTGAATAGGTCACATCTCTTTCTTGTTTTGAGATCATAAGGAGATAACCCAGGTCCTCTGTCAGCCCCCAGCCAGCAGAGAAGACTTTGGTTTCTAACAGTGAAGAAAAGTAAAGATAATGACACAAACGGTAGCTATTGCGTCTGCACTACGTCAGCTGGCGAAAGGCGAGCACTACATCCGTCACTGGCACGAGGAAGAACTGTTCACAATTACAATGTCTAAATAAAATCCTTGGAACAAAAGGTGCAAGTCACAATTCAAATAGAACAGAATCTGGTTAAACATTTCTCTTTTCAACAAAAATCCTTGTGTTTTTATTTATTAATAATAATAACAATAATATCAACATTTACCAAAAACAATTCCTACATGATCAAGAAGTAAAATAGGGGCTGAGGAGGCCCAGAGAGGAGGAAAAGGTCAGGAGAAAGGAGGCCCACGACAACCTCCTATTCTTGCTGTGGTGACGAGGCTGAGAGGGAGAAGGAGATATATATACGTGTGTCTGCACACACACACGCACACACACGTGTATATATATATACGGAGAAATAATCCTTTTCATAGCACAATATAAAATGAGAATGAAAGGTGACATGAAAAGCCTAGTGTACACTGTTGGGTGTTGAGTCCACGGGGAGAAGCAGCAGGAACCTTTCCAGGTCACAGGAGGGGAGCTGAGCGTTACAGCAGAGAGAGGGCACCCGGAGCCTTTCTACCCGGCCGCCTCCGCGCCAGGCCGCTCTCGGTCTCCATGCTCAAGCTCTGATACGCTCTGGGCTGGGCCCGACACGTTTCTCAGCGGGTCTCAGCAGTGAAGACCCGCCCAGGCGCCAGGCGTGGGGGTTCTGTGTTTGCTCTCCACGGGCCAGAGCTGGCCCCCTCCCCTCTCCCTTTTCCCAGCCTCTAAGTGCCTGGAGGATGTCAGCCTTTGGTTTTTGCTCCCAGGGAAGAGCCATGCAGAGGACTGAGGGGTGCTCTGTGAATGGAGGCGGGGGGGGGGGGTGAGGGGCAGGTGGGGAACTCTGGGTTCCCTGGCCTCTGTAGGCTAACTGCTTTGCTCTTCTTCTGTCTCAAAAAAAGGAAAGGAAAAAAGAAAAAAAGGAAAGGGAAACAAGGGAAGGAAAGTCACCTCCAAACAAAAACATACCAAGGAAGAAAAGTCAAACAACACAACCAAAATCAAACCAAAGCCAACCACCAACTCAAATACACCAGATACGCTGTCACAAAAGGTGGCAAACATGGAGTTCCTGTTTATTTCCTTGGTGACTTGGTCATACAAGCAAACGTGGCGAAACCCCCTCAGAACCCAAAAGAACAGCACACTGGTGAACCGAGAGTGAGGAAGGAGCCAGGACATTCTGGGTGGAGAGAAATACAACAGCAATTTGGCGCGATGCTGCTAGATACTGTGGGTGTAGAGTCGACCGTTTCTTTCCCGAGCTGTACACAAACCTGCAAGAGAGCAGACACGGGGGAGAGGTTATCTGAAAAGAGACTCACATATTCAATTACAATTTTAAAAAAAGCACCTCAACCGGTTCACCTCACTTCAGGAGTTTTAGGAGGTCTGCCTTAATGAGGTGCTTACACGGATGTGCCGGATGGTTTAACTTTCATCAAGTGTTTTCTGTCAAAGAGTTTTCCAAGACAGAACCAAGGCTACCTTCTATGTATCTTTTAAGGCATTACTCCAGCTGAACTGGCCAATTTACCCATTTTCTACCACTGGCTTCTGCTCACATATTTCCCTTCTCTGGAATATTCTGTCACGTACAACACAGTCTTAAAAATATGGCCGGACATGTTTTCTTGCTGGGTTTCATCCTTCAGGATTGAGTTGAAGGGTTATCTCTGTCCTGTGAAACTGCCACTCACTCACTGTCTCTATACTGAACACCCATGTGGGTGTTCGAGCTGCCACACTTGGAAGGAATGTCCTGCAAGCTGGCATTCGGCCAAGGCTGGTGTGGCCCTGGCCAGGGTGATACTCACTATTTCCTGTTACACGCCTGCTTGCTCCATGCTGAAGGAGACCTCAGGATGCTTGTAGCTGAGCAGAATGTCTGTAATACACGTTGATGGATAACAAGAGGAGTTTAAATGCTGGCTGCCCTCAGTCAGGTCAGGGTGCTCGTGGCCTCCTAGACTTTCCCCGCATTCTGCAAGACCAGAAAACCAGGTGAGATTCTGCAGGAAACTGGGAGGTAGGTGGGAAGGAGGAGAGAAAGGACAAGTCTGCACACCTTGCACACCAGGTACTGGCCCCCAGTCCTGGATTCTAGCTCAGAGCAGGCCCTCGATGGGCTGGGGCCAGGGTCCTTCGGTATTCTCTAAGTGTCCACCTCACCCTTTAATGTCTCCCGCCATCAAGTACTGCAGCTGGGAGAAGGCAGAGCACTGCTCCTTCAGAGAGACTGGCTTCTGTAGCGAAAAGCGTGATTTTTCTGCTCGTAGCTATGTTAGTGGGTATGCTGGTGAGGCACTGTGCTAATAAGCAAGGAAACTCACTAAGCTTGTAACCCTAGTGCACAGTCTCAGGGACAGGCTGTGTTGTTCTTGCTACTTTATAGAGGGGGATCTCGGGTATCAAAAAGGTTAAGCACCTTGCCTGCAGGGCCTTCAAAGGGCAGAGAGTGAGGGTTTACTGCAGACCTGCCCATTCAAGGCCTATATCTGCTTTATATTTATTTTGAACCCTCCCTTTTCTGGTCCTAAAGAGATAAACATTCCATTAAGGACAACACCTCTTCAGGCTTACTCCCCCCCCCCCCACCTCCCGCCCTGGCTATGTAAAGTACAGTGTTGGCATTTATGAATAGTAAGATCTGGTAGGTTATTTTTTTGGGTCTGGTAATACTCAATTTTTGTCCATATAAATTAATGGTAATCGTGTTCCCAGATCTAAAAACCAACCTCCTAAGACCATACCATATAGGAACATTCTACTTTCAGATAGTGGGGAAACCTGTAGTCAGAGAAAAATGATTAAAGGAGTTAGCTATTAAGTTAAAGGACTATCTGAGCAAAGCATCACAAACATAAACCTGACACCCTGCACTCACTCAGACGTGCTGCTTCATGTGCTCACGACTGGGGGAGGGCCTTGTGTCTGGAGCCCGTGGGGGTACTGTGGCACCATCCTCCACGAGCTCTTTACCCACAAGAGGGGAACAGCCACTGGTGAAAGAGGGGGAGCACTGCAGAAACTTCTCCAGGGCACCTTATGAATAAGACCCCTTACCCTCAGTTTCCCCATCCTGAAACTGCTGGCTCCCCATCAGCGAGGACTGACTGAGAACAGCATCTGACATCCGGGCTGAACTAAGTGCTTTCCCAGCCACGAGACTCATTCCTGACAAGTTATCCAGCTGTACCTGCAGAAAACAATTAGAAAAAGAAGTCAGGCTAGCAGAGGCCGGGCCTCTCGGTGACCCTCAGAGACAGCTGGTTGCTCTGAAAGGGTCCAGGCACAGAGCAGCCTCCCAAGTAGTGCCACCCAGGCTCCTGCCCTCTCAGTGCCACCCAAGGGGGGAGGCTGCGATGGTGACAGGGTGGGCCACCTCAGTCTCCTTTCACAGGGCAGGCAGGGCGGGGAGGGTGCATCTCAACTGGTGGTCGAATGCCCTTGACACTACATGACCTTCCAGAGCCAGGTTTCTGACCTATCCCCTCACTGCCAGCATCACCCCCTCACTGAAGACGGGAATATCTGCCCTGTCCACGATGCAGCTACTAGTCACAAATGGCTAATGAGCACTTGAAGTCTGTCTAGTGTAACTGAGTAACTAAAGTTCTTATTTTCTTTCCCTTAAATTATATTTGAATTTGAACAGCTACCCGTGGCTAGTTGCTACTGTATCGACAGTGCTATCGCAGGAGTTCGCCCTAGGAAAAAACGCTTTGCTAAGCCTGGTTAGCTCCCTTTACCTAAATAAGTCCAACACAGCTGGCAGAAAGCTCACTAGGAGCCTAAGGGCTCACTTGCTGGGGCTTGAGTTTCTACTGTTTGGGAAGAAGCTGAATAACGAAGGCCACGCTTGCTTCTTCAATCTAAAATTTGGAATTTGGAGAAAAGATTCCACTGGAGCTAGGGGCTGGTCTGTTAGGGTGACTCAAAGACATGCTCTCACAGTTCCCAGCAGTGCTGGACTTGGATGAGGAGCGGGGAGGGGCAGAGGCTGCCCCACACGACTGAATCTATTTTCACGGATGGGGCTGGCAGATCCCATCTGAGAGGTAGGACGGGACCAACAACATACGTAAGCATCGTCGCTGTTCTGGATCGTGTGGTGTCTCTGGAGGGTCCGGGGCCTGTGGTGCTCGCTGACTGAGGGGTGCGCTGGGTACCCGAGCCCATTGTGATCTGGCAGCTCCATCACTTGACTTGGAGAACTTCTATCCATGCAATTCCCTATGACAGACTCTGAGGAGAGAGCAAAAGAGGGTTAGCAGTCTGTCAACTTCCATCAGAGAATGTCTTGTAAGGGACAGCGAACAAATGTCCACTAACTGCTGGTCCTCAGCCAGCGGCGCCTGGGCCACCCTGCCAGCCCTGCCACCCCAGCAAACGGGAGTCGCTTGAAGAAGGGACCAGACACTCAGAAGAAAAATCCCACAGAGCGGTGGTTGGCTGGATCACACTGAACCTTTTCTCTTTACTTCTTTGTTGACTCGACAGTGCTATATTCCCAAATCCACATGCTCACAGAATCGTTGTGGAGCTTCCAGGCACCTCTCGCCCTGGAGAATGGCCTCCATTTTATGGATGCCTTCTCTGCCCTTCCCTGGCCCTCAGCATATCACTTGGTCCTCTCCTCTTTCTATTTCTCGAACTGCTCCTCCCAACGCCTTCCATGATGCCTCCACTCCTATAAGCAAACACTCTTTACATGTCTGTCCTTGACCTTCTCTCTCCCCCCACACTTAACTTTGGTATTATCTATTTTCATGGTTTCAATTATATTGATTCTATTATATTGATTTCAATTACACTGATTCAAAGAATTACTGAAATGCTCTTCCAGATCCGTAATCCCACATTTCCCTGAATAACTAACCAATATCTAACACTTAACATGTCCAAACACATCAGCTTCCCCCACAACTAGCTCCATTTTCCAGACAGCCTGGTTTTGATGATTAATTTTCCTAATCTTCTAGATGTGAGCTCCTAGGGTCCATGCTGATTCCTCACCCTTAGCCCCATATCACCTTGAAGTCTAAGGAATCTACTGCTGCAATGCTGGGGACTTTGGTTCCTTTTCTTTCCAGCCTTAGGCTTCTAGCGAAGTCTTAGTACCTCTTGCTTGGATTACCACAATAGCCTCCTAACCATCCCTTTATCACTACCCTACAATCTCTCTAAAAGGTTACTCAAACACTTTCCAACCCTGTCCCAGTCTGTCTTCCACACTATGCTCTGCTACATTCTAAGGCCTAGTCCAATGGAACCAATTAACTTTTTCCCACCCATTCACAATTCTATGCCTTTGCTCCCTGTTCTCACCACCAGGAAATGCTTGGTTCTTCTGTGAATCCATGCCTGCTAATCCAAATCAACTCACCCTTCCAGGCCTATCTCAAATGTTACCCTTTTTATGAAATGTTCCCTTTCATGCAGAAATAGATCTTGTCTTATTTATTCACATTGGATGCTAAGTTCTTTGAGGACAAGAATATATCTTACACATTTCTGAGAGCATTCACTGTTCCAGAACACTGCCTATACCCAGAAGTATTTCATAATTATCTCTTTAATAGATGTAAACAAATGCTCTCGATACGGGGAGCATACTATCTGTCATGCGACCCTGTGGGCTGGATTTTGGAGTGGAGGAAGAGTTCAAGAGGAATGAATCACCGGGGCCACACCTAAGCTGCTGGGATCCTCTTGGTTGCACTTCTGTATCTGGTCCCTTCGGAGCCTGGGTCTTGAATATGTTTTGTCTGTCTGGTTTTGAGAGTTGGGCATATCTCCTGAGGAACTGTACCTTGGTGAGACCATGTTTTCCAAAAGGTCTTAATAAGAGACACAGCCCCAATGTTAGCTGTACCATTCTTTCATTATTTGAACATTGCAAGTAAACTGTACTGCTTGGGTGTTGGGTAAAGGGCTTCAGGTCTCTGTATTCAAATGGTCTTCTCTAATGGCCATAGAAAGGCCAGGGGCTAAGGTGGCACGGGAAGGGAGGGAACCCATTCGCATGCATGTTGCTGTAATACACAACATTCTGGAGAAAACTGCGAGGTGGAGGAGCTTCCCAATCTCCAAAGATGAAGGCAAGTGGGAAATCTTTTTAAAGTTCTCTGAGCAAAGAGGTCAAGGGAATTACCAGAAGCCCACTCTCCTGCTCCTGAAAGCTAAATACCAACAGAGAGAGAAGACAGAAGAAAGCTACAGCAGGGCTCATTCTGTGGGATTAGCTTACCCATCCTACCATGTAGCCAATTCCCCTCCGTGGGCACAGCTCACAGGCTGGCCCCATGTCTAAACAAAAACCACTGGCAGGAAGTGGTGCAACACTGGCTCTGGGGAGGGAGAACGTCTCTGGTCTGCTTTGCCAAGGAGTAAGACAAATAGCTGCTTCGTTTTTTGAAGTTCCTTTTCTAATGCTTATATTCCCTTCTTTGGTAGCTAACCCTACCCACTCAATTCCTTGGACTTCTTTTTTCTGGATTATACAGTTAGATGCAAATCTCATTGGTCATACCTCCTTGCCCCTCCCAGAGACAGCTTTCCTGCTTAAAGGTTTTTAAAGGCTCATTATCAACACAAAGAAACGGCAAAGCTAGTAAAATGTATGTGGTCCTGATTCATGCCATGCGGTTCCTTCATACCTCTTCCAGAGGCCTCAGAGTGTGTTTTTGTTTGCTTGATATGTTGAGTGTCCTCTTTCTCTGTCCTTTTCTTTTTCAGATTTCTTTTTATTTCTGAGAATGGCATTTCTTTAAACCAAAACATCCACTTTCCTTTTGGCTCTGCTTTTGCGAACGTTACCTGGATCCTGTCCTCCACTCTGCCCTCTTTCTACTCTTCAGGTTTGGTGCCAACAGGCCTGAAAGTGCCGCCAAGACAGAGCATGTGATTGCCTGACAAATGCTGACCCCCAGCCTAGAGCTCCTAAGTACGAGTTCTGGGATCAGAAGGGGGGGCTTGAAGTCCACTTTCCCTAGAATTCCCAGGGAGTGGCAGCTTGGACAAGTCACCTGTCTTCACAGAAGAGTCTCGGTCTCTTTACCTGTAAAACAGGACTTACAAATATGGAAGAGTGTACCAGAGCTTGGTCTACTGTCAGAGCTTAGAAAAAACTGGTATTACTTATACTCATTTCAGAGATGTTACTTCTGAGCAGATAAGACATACTGAGCTCAGCAGCTGACCAAGACAACAAGGAAACTGATTTTCTCAAAGACCCTGAGTTCCAGAATTTGGAAGACAATTTGCCCATAGGTTAAGTGAGCAGCTAAGTTCCTGAAACTTTTGTTTCCGGAGAAGATACCTCTGGTTCAGGAGAGACAAATGTGAGTAAAAGGTGAGATGAGAAAGAAGCGTATTACAGGGCCACAAACCTGGAAGGGTTAGCATCTTCTGCTTGGCAGCTATGCCTGGAGGGTGTGGAGTGAGAAGCAAGGAGGCATAAAGGAAAGACTATCAGACCGGGGAATCAGAAAACATGAAGACAGGATCCAGCTCCACCTTCAACTGACTCTATGATGGCAGGTGAGTCATTAGCTTTCTCCGAACCTCAGTTTCCCTATCTGAAAAATGGGGGTTGCTTGGGTGCTCAAAAGTTAGCACACGCAAAAGGGCCTTTAATACACTGTAAAGGACTATACAAGTTCTTTTTAGTAAGAATGCTGACTCCTGAGTCTAGAGGCCCCGTGCCTCAGTAGATGAAACTACCAGGTCGGGGGAGGAGATGGGGACTGTACTAACCACTGATCAAGGGACATGAATTTTAAATTCAAACCTTGGCCTCCTTTCTGTCAATTCAGCAGCTAGAGGAACTGTCAAGTATACATATCAAAGGATATAATACATAGTAGGGGAAAGAGAACTTCTGAGAGCAGCACTCATGGGTATTTACCACAGAACAGCTGAGAGAGCACAGAGGAGAGGGCAATCATCTGATCACGCAAGGGCAAAAATACACAAGGGACACTGCCCACTTGCCTAGGGGCCTCTGGGGCAGCTTGCACAATGCTCTATTGAATGTGTCAATGTTGACAAAAGATGTCAGTCCTTCCAGATCTTTGACCAATGGATTATATCAAAACTTAAGCAGGCAGAGCAGTAATTTGCTACTTTCTCATGTAGCTTTTTACTCACATTTGTCTCTCCTGTGTGAGAAATATCTTCTCTGGAAAGTTAACATTCCAGGAAATTATCTGCTCACTTACTGATGGGTAAATTGTTTTCCAAATTCTGGAACTCAGGGTCTTTGATAAAATCAGTTTCCTTGTTGTTTTTGTCAGCTGGCTTAGTGTGTCCTTATCTACTTCTTACTCATTTACTGGGTTGTAAGAGAAAATGAGAGCAATGACATGTATGCCTATCCCTCTTAAAGGTCCTGAGGTGTAAAACCTCCCAGTCTGTCATCACATCACCCTCCTAGGAGGACTGAAGCCCACTGATACTGCTGAAGCTGACTAGGTTCACAGAAAAGGAGGTGGGCTTTTTCCTCAGTTCAAGTTGCCAATTGCACTATATAAACTGGTTGCACTGTTGTACTTATTTGATTTACAAAACAAAATCACGTGGATATGACAGTATGGGAAGAAGATAAATCATATTTCTACTTCCAGAGCAGCAGGCAGGGAGACTACAGGCAGCATGCGGCACGTATAGCCCTGAACCTTCTCCATATTTGAAACAAACCCTCATTATGCTGCCTGCTCAGTGTCCAGCAGCGCCTGGCCCCACACTGGCTGGTGGCAAACAGCCATAGAGGAAATAGGTGACCAGGACCACTGAGAGGACGACAGCGGATTTTCTCTGACTGACACAAGTGACCCTTGCTCATTAGACTGTTGGAACCACACACTAGCTCTCCGCTTTACAACGGTACCTCTCCTAGCACTCATCACACGGCACTTATTAAGGCTGTCTGTGAACTTAGCTTCCTTCTCCAGTAGAGTATAAGCTCTCTGAGGGCAGGTTCTCCTTCTCTTCCTTGATGCATTTCTCACAGCCTCTACAATAGTTGTGCGCTGCCTAGTTATTCAATAAACCTTGTTGAATTTGCTCATTGTGAAAGTTAACAGACAAGTGTTCTGAGACACAGGGACGGGGGCATTATGAAAGGAAAGAGTAGCATTCCTCCCTGTTCAAAGAAATAACCCAGTGTGAGCTTCCTCAATTTACCTGCCAGTGGTAGGACATAGCATTATAATCCCTTCTCGGAAAACTCACAGCAAATTATCTCATGGTTCTCTGGTAATAGAAAACTGTGAGTGCTGAAGTTTCTAACACAACAGAATCATGTCAAGTTCAAGTTCATAGCCACCGTTCCTATTATAAAAGGGATCATAACATAAACATCCCAGAGTAGTTGTGAAAAAGAAATGAGTGACTGAGTTGAAAGTACTAAGCACAGAGCAGACATACTACAAACAACAATTCTCTTCCTCTTAGGGGACACTTAGTTTAGCAGCCTCATTCCAGATGAAGCAAAGGAGGGGAAGTTACAGGCTAGGTTCACGGTCAGAGACAATGCTCTCACTGTTCACAGCAAGGACAAATGGGGGTGCCTCAGAATAAAAAGCTATTTAAAAACACATATGTACCCCTCTGAAGGAATTTTTACTCATGGACTTCCCTGGTCCTTCATTTCCCTATTGTATTATTTCACCATATGGGATTATTCATTCACATCTTGATAAACCTGTGACTTTGTTCCTTAAAAGTGTGATGATTATAAGAGATACGTGATTCCAAAAGTCACAAATTCAGAGTGGATGTTAAAAGGAAGGTAGGTGAATCGTATTCCAGCAAAAAACAGCATACTCCATAGCTCTCAGATAAAGAGAAAGCTTAAAGTGGGCTGAAAGAAGGAAGAATAATCTCTACAATACACTGGCAAGCAGGACAGGAGCTAAGATTGTAACTTCTAGGAAGGCTTATATGAATGGTCAGGAGAAGAGTATTGAAGAAAAAAAGAGACGGGGGGTTTGGAGCTAAACCTTTAGGGATATGTTTATGACTTGATTGGTCCAGAAATCAATTTGTCCTCTTCGGAGGAGAGAATGGTGGCCATGGCAGTGGAGGTAAGAAGGGAGAGAGGAGGGGGCAGAGAAGTATGCTATTTCAGTGAGCAGAAGTAGGAGAGCTGTACCAAGAAGTCAGAAGCATAGCCTGAACTGAAGATCTTAGACTTAAAAGGAAGGGTATGACACGGAGTGATGGTCGGACAGTGTATGCACCTAAATCTGCCAGAACTGGGGGGAACACCAGGGTGGAGCACTGCAGTTGGGAGAGCCCCACTGGATCTTAGACAGTCTTTGCCTCAGCTTCTACTATTTCCTACACTTCAAATGAACCAACCCGCTCACTTTTCCCCCACATCCCTGAGACTTTCTCACTTGCTGGTCATTCTTCAAGCAGCGCCCCCTAAATTCAAATGGTAAAATCTTTTACATTGAGACCCAACTCAAGCACTACTTCATGTTGGAAACCTCCCCATGCCTCTGGTTTAGAACAAATCTGTCCCTCTGCTGCACCCAGAGCACAGGTTCCAACTACATCCTGGCTGACTTTAGACAAGAAATAGGCCAGCAAGGCTGCCAAAAAGTTCTGCCGCTAATTATGGGACACGGGTAGATTCCCGCCCTCCAGTCTCTGTACACAGGAGTCTCCCGGGAGGGGAAAATGAGGAGAAATTAGGGAAAGAATTTTTGAATTTCTGAAAGATACAAGATTCTTCTCGTATCTGCTTTCGAGACAAAGTTGGACTTACTAATCTGATGTCTTTTGGGAAAAAGACTACACACTGAAGTATTCAAAGGGATTTTATTATATAACCATCAACAGATTCTTTCACCTAAATTGTGAAAGATTTTTGAAAGAAAGCTCAGAATATGGCAACCCAGGGAAGGCGGAGGAGGGCGTGTGCTCCAGCTCATCCCCAGTGACCTCATTCCCCAGACGAGCTCAGCAGGCACCCGCTGCAGTGGACAGAGGCACTCTTGGGTTCCGATGCTACTTACTAGTAGCGGACCTTGGTGGGTACATCATCTCAATGGTAAAACGGGGATAAAGGCTATGTGAGGATTAAAGGTGAATTATAAGCGAACAGCATTGGGGGTCTGGCAATGAAAGGCACTGCAGAAATATTAGCTATTCTCCTTCGACAGCATGTTAATCTGGTGAAAGCTCTCATTCACACAGGAACTTTTCCACAGCATACTTGATAGGATCAACTGCATTTGCTAACACATTTACAAGAACAGGAAGCTCTTAGGCTATTGGGGCATCCTATTCTGGAAAATTCTTATACAGGTCTTCCATAGGGAGTTGAAATTTGCTGCCACTTCTCGTGTGATCTTGACTCTGCCCCATAATATGAACCCAGAAAAGTCTAATCCTTTCTTCCATCTGACAGGTATGATGTCTTGTCTTAGTTTCCTCCCACAAAGCCTGAACATCCCAGGGTCTGCCAGTCATGCCCACATGACCTCATTTGAATCTTTCCACCAGTCTGTGTCAAAGAGCACAACCTTTGCACATCCACTGCTTTCAAGCAAGGGCCTCTATCTTGCTCTGTGCCACAAAGAGTTGAGTTTTGTGTGTTGACATTAGTGAGTGGGGCAGCAGATACAAGTAGTTCCAAGGAAAGGATATAAGACAAATTCTCCGCTCAAAGATTTATGTTTTGTGGGTGAATTTGTTTTTCAAAATCTATGTGATCAAGTATCAGTTGGATTTTGTCAAGGGTGAGTCCTATGATGTCAATGGGGCTACATTATCCAAGTATAGCTTACCGATAATAACTCTAAAAATCTCCTGCAGGGTGACAATGAATGTATTCATTAATTATAAAATCATACAAAGTGTAATGTCCAGGGGCCCCTGCTAATGCTAGAATGGTCCCTATTTAGCTCATTCATGAAATGATCAGTAATAATACCTCACGTCGACACCCTACATTCAGATCAAATGCTCCCCCCTCCCCCCACACATATGATGTGTAAGCGCACACACACATAGGCATGTTTTATCTTTACAAATACTCTGCAAAGGACCATTATTCCTCCTGCCCCTTTCTGACAGATGTGGGGTTTATATGCCAGGATTAAGGCATTCGTGGTGGAGGCAAGTATAGAACCGAGGTGCTCTGACTCATGCCCCATCACTATTTACCCCAAATCACATTTCCTTAGTACTGGCTGGCGTGTTTCTATTGCAGAAAGTAAAGGTAGCTATTGTGATAACAGTCCAGAAAGACGTTACTGGACTCCCAAGACACGATGAACAGGGCAAACACCATGGATCTCCCTGACTGTCCTAAGTGTTAATTTCCTATCACTATCTTTTTATCTTGCAAACAGACCCTTTACACACCTATACCTGCTTTCTACATGCTTCTCTCCCAAAAGGACCTAGAGGTCTTCTTGGGAATTCTTTTTCTTTCAGGAACCCAGAGTACTTGCTGAAACAGATAAATCACAGCGTTTATGGAATTGGGGCAGACTGGCCCAGAACTTCTACTTTGTAGGGACTCTTACCTCGACTGGACACCTTATTTCTACTGAATGCAGCAATTGGCTGGTGTCGATAAGGGTGTATCCCCAATTCCTGTGCATGACTCACAGTTCCTAGTAAAGATTCAGGGTCCCCAGGTCCGCCAGTACTCAAGAGCAGGGGGCTGTCGTGGCAGCCTTTGGTCAACGCAGTGGAACTCTTCCTGTCTGGAAAGCCGTCCTTGGTGCCCTCGCAGGAGCACTCCTCTTCCATGCTCTCCGAATGCAGGAGTGCAGGCTGCTGAGCATACCCGTGGGTCGGGGTGGGAGAGGAAACCTGGGAGATACATTCTTGCGCTCTGATCTGTAGAAGGTGCTGGGGACTGGTGTGGTGGGGGTGATAGGAGTCAGCATTCTGATATGATAAAGCCTGACGCTCTGTCATACTCTGTCCCCCGAGATTGGGAGTCAGACTCCCAGCATCCCCCTGGTTCATATGCCTGAACAATTCTTGGTACTCTTGCTGCTGCTGTTGCTGCTGCTGCTGCTGCTGTCGCTGCTGCTGCTGCTGCCTTTTAATGAGCTGTGCAAACTCTGCTGGGGGCAGTCGAATGTCCGAGTGGCCGGTGAGCGAATGTCGGGGAGAGAGCAGTCCTTGAAGGATGTGGGGTACCTGCTGGTGTCGGGTGTAGTCTGGCGGCGTTGGGGAGAGCAGGGCTTGCTGTAGTGCTGATGTGGTATAGTGTGGTGGCTGCTGATGTGCACTGGGAGGGAAGGTGGGGAATTGGTCAAGTGGAGGGACTTTCAGGGCTTGGGTTGGAGAGAACCCCACTCCTGCTGAAGGGCTGTAGCTGCTGGGGGAACCCCGGGACTGGTCCGAAAACAGCTGGGGGTGTAAATGCGCCTGGTCGTAGTTAGCTGGGGAGAACCGATTCACGTTCAAGCTGCAGACACAAAAGGAAGTAAGTACCAGGCATCCAGGTCCCAAGTCCACTAGACTCCCCGGGAAGTGCTCTTCCTGCCCTTATTCCTCTTCCTCCTCATCCTCTTAGTAGGGAACCCCCACAGGTGAAGAGAACTGTGGGTGACAGGGGAAGTGGGGATGTCTGTATCATCTCTGCTCATCCCCTTTAGTTTTTCCATGAACTTCCAACGAGCTCAGGGCAATGCATGTATAAGAGACCTGGCTCTAGCTCAAAGCAAGCAGCAAGGCCTCTCTTACCTATCTCTAAGAAGTACCAACCTCTCAGGACACGCGTGACAGACAGGAAGAGAATGCTAAAAGAAGTTATTGAGGGAACTGGCATTTTTAGAAGCTCCTCCAATAGCTCATTTTCTATTTTGCAGATCAACATCAAACAGCTTTTACCTTTCCTCCTCTGTACCATGAGCATTTTGATCCTGGATCAATAAACAGATTTCAAGTTCACCCTAAATCCACCACCCTGATTTTGGAAAGGGTGAAATGAGCACAGCCCTGTCAGCCTCTCTCCTTGCTGCCTCCTCTCCCACCCCGCTGAGGTGCTGCCTGCCCCTGGATCGCCGGGACAGAAGGCTGGGTGACTCTGCAGTCTTACCTGTGGGCCTCTGCACTGTCAGCACTCAGCTGCTTGGACAAGGGTCGATGCCCGTAGCTGAAAGTAGCCATCAGGTTGGTCCGGTGCTGCATCTGAATCTGACTGGCACTGGGGCTAATGGACATGCCCCGGCTAGTGGAGCCTGCAGCTGTCCCTGTCATGTTGCCGAGCATGTCAACAGGCTCCTGAACTTGGATGGTCACCTGCTGTGACTGGGTAGGCTGCTGGATGCCCAAGCAGGTTAGTGCCACGCTGGGAGGAGGGGAACAGTTCTCAGGCTGCTGCTGAAAGATTGCACTATGGGAGGGTAAGCCTTGAAACTGGGAGGAAGATGGAGCACCTGCAGAGAAAGAACCTCAGAGTGACTGAATGTCCAGGTTACCTGCCTCCTGGAAGTAATGGGAGCAATGAGACCACTCAAACTGGATACCAGTTACAGCAGTGCTCCCCCAATTGCAGACTCATCTGGAGAACTTGTTAAAACACAGATTCCTGGGCCCTACCTACAGAATTATGATTCAGTGGACTATGGTGGGGACCCCAAAATTTGTATTTCTAACAAGCTGCCCTGAAAGCTGGCCAGTAGATTATTCCCTGAGCAGCTCTGATGTAGAGCAGTACTTTTCAAATTCTCACATGCATACCAATGGCCTGGGGATCTTGCTAGAACAAAGATTCCATTAGGTCTGGGATGGAATCAGAGATTCTACTTTTTCCTACTGATGCTGTTGACCCAGGGATCTCACTTTGAGTAGGAAGGATCTAGGGATGACTTCAGGTTCTTCATGGGGAATCTAGCTTGTGTGCATTACTTAAGAAATTCCAGCTTTTAGAACACTAAATCTTCAGAGCCCTGGTCTCTGAAGACCCATACCCATGAGGATAGACTCATCTTCACCTCCACCTATACACCCACACGGATCCTACAAGCACAATGGAAAACCAGACAGGGGCATGACAATAAGGAAGATTCTGCTAGTCACTCTTCATGTGGTAGGGTTGGAGGGAGTTTTATTTAAAATATTAATAATAGTTAACCTTTACTGAGAACTATTTTGTACCAGGGACTGTTCCAAGTGCTTGACGTATATTCATTCATTAAATACTATTATTATCCCTATTTTACATCTGAGAAAGCTGAGGTACAAAGAGTTTAAGCAACTTACCTAAGGTTTTACAGTTAAGAAGTTGGTAGAACTAGGTCTCAAACTGAGGCACTCTGGCTCAAGAGTCTACTCCTTAAATATTTTGCCACTTTTGCTTTTTAAATCAATGGCTCATGGCGCTTGAGTCTCAGGCTCATTTTGTCCATGCGGCATGCCACGGCCTGTTCTAAACCGCTCCACTCACCGTGAGGCTGGATCACGGCACTGTTCATGGGGGGAGGACTATTACTGGGCTGTCTGAAGAGATGGTTGTTGGGGTGGTTGGGGGGTGGGCTTGAAGGCTGAATCCTTAACCTTAAAAAACAACAAAACCAGATAAATAAATTTCCTGAGGTGACAGTATAATAACCTTGAAGTTATTTTCAGCCATACAATCTACACAGCCAGAAACTATTCTGCTCCTCCAGGCTACAAAAGCATACATAAGCCACCCACCAATGTCTACTTAACACTAGCCACATGCTATTTTACAAGCCTTCCCAAAGAGGCAGAGGTCATTGTGAGCCTGTAACCGCCTTGTGAGGAAGAGGTCAGATTACTTTATTCATGGGGCTAAGAAAATGAAGTGGCACCAGAAGTCAGGATTTTAGGGAGGCTGCTCAGATTTACATTGATTCCTCTGCTTTTCAAATAAGTCCTTCCAAGATGAATGCTAAAGTCAGTCAATATCTCCCATATGAGTCAGGCCAAGTCACACAGACAATGGCTTAGGCACGAAACAAAATGATTCATTACCTCTGGAGCTGGTGGGTGAGGAGGGCCGGCTGGTTTTCACATGCAGCCTGAAGAGGTGGAGAAGGCTGAGGAGGACAGATAGAATCCTAAGACATATGGGGGGAAAGGAAAAAAAACAAAACCAATTGTGAGCTTAATGATTAGTCAGAGCTAGTCTCAGGAAGGGAGAAACAGAAAGTACTATCTGTGACTGCGATTATGCTCTCCTTCTTCAAAAGGTTTGATTACCTTTATTGAAACATGTCAGCCATAAACATAACTCCACTTTGCCCAGTGGGATCACCTCCAAAACTCACAGGCAAGTCAGCCTGAAAGCAAACTCCAAACCAGTTGGAGAAAGCAAAGAGTGAAGGCCTACTTGAATTTGTTGCTGGAGAATTTGATGGTGCTGCTCCTGCTGGTATAACATATGTTGCTGCTGGGTCTTCTCCAGGGTTCTCTCATCAATCTGCCCCCCGTACATCTTCTGCAGCTGCTCGCACTCCTGAAGGGAAAGCAGTTCATACAGATGGGGTGCAGCTCCATGACGCCCCATGCAGTGATGTCAGCAGATGCAGATCTGCCCCCAGGTCTCATGGGCAGAAAGAGCCACAAGAGAAGAACAGTGTCCTTGAGGAGGGACTAACCCATTTATATAGGTATTTGTGTACTAAGTGCTGTTTTGTGTGAACGGCTGGAAAACACCGAGGAAGTGGCCAGTGCGAAATCTGTGTATAAACATGCCAACTACAGCTTGGTCATAAGGCAGGCAAGAGGAGACAGGCCTGTTACAGAAGTCTGGAAGTACGACTTCCTTCCCCTGGGACCACCATTCCACACCAACTGGAGACTAGGCCAGGTAGGAACAATTGTAGGGCAAGCTCCAACAAGACCCAGCATCCATAAACTAAGAGCAGGATGCCAGAATTACTTAAAGCATCTTCCCCAATGTTTCCCACTGAAACCCAAGCTCAGAAACTGCTCTCTAATGAACTGTAGAGACAGATGGAAGATTTAGTCCTGCCAGGGGTAAGCAAGTCTGATCCGGGGGGGGGGGGGGGGGGTGGTGCTGGACATCACAAGAAGAAAGCAAAGAGTGTTAGAAAGTTGGACCTATAGAAAGTGAATCTAAAAACCTGCAGTGCTGCTGACATGAGTGGGTTCAAGTTTAACACTCCTGCAAAACTGGTCTGGGTTACCCATGCTTCTCCAGAGATGTCTGCCATCTCTTTCATTACCTGCTGCAACTGTTTGATGCTGCTGTTGTTGCCCATTTTTTCCAGGTGAGCTTTGAAGGCCTGGATGCTTGCAGCCCCATCTGAGAACCGGCGCACAGGGGAGAAACGCTCCGTAGGGAGGTGCAGGGTGTTGGAGTCCTTGTAGGTAGAGCTGAATACATGGGAAGAGAAGGTTAGGGACTAGGACTCAGGGGTTCTGACCAAATCACCCAGGGACTGCAGTTCCAGATGAACACACAGATGGCTGGCTGCACGTGGGGGCCTGCATGATAGGCCATTTCCATGCCATCTCCAGAGGAGGGTCACTGCCCTAGCCTGCTCCCCTTCAGAGGGCTCCAGGTGCACATTTTCCATTTCCACTTACCTTCAAGTTGGCTTGATTTCCAAGCCCGGTAAAGTCCTGGGGTCAAATACAGAGAGTGCTTACAAATATACTAGTCAGAGAGAAGAGCTTCTTAATATCCCTTAGGCCCGAGCTGTACAGGAGCTCTGGCTTTCACAATCATGCCCCTATCTAGTGACTTTAGATACCTCAAATTCACATACCAAGTTTTCCCTGAGAGGTAATCTCCGTACAACTAGAGGGAACCTACAGCATGCTTTGTGGTCAGAGGTCTGGGCCCAGAGCACATAGGTGCTGTGCTAGAAAATGGAGCGTGCAATTGTAAATGGGGGGAAAAGGGTATTTCTGATCCCAAGATGGAGACAGCACGTTCTTAAGGAAGGTGAGCCTCCAGATCCTGCACATACCTGGTCAACACAAAATACCTACTGTGAAGATTAACTTCTCAGAGCAGCCGCACCCACCCAGCCTCCTAATGAAAGAGAAATCATGTGGATTGCTTTCAAAATCCCCGTGGCTCAATGAGAACACAGCCAGTATCTTACAGAAAGAGAGAACAAGCTCTTGATAAGGAATGCCTAAGACAGCATCGGGGCTAGAAGCTAACACCTATACTTGTTACCTAATCAGAAAGAGATGTTGATGGTTGAGGTAAGCAGATAAAAGACTGCCAAGGCAGCATTCCAGCAGCTGATGGAAAGGATCAGGGTTTCATGTCCAGGCAGAGATGACATTACACTTAACTATGGGTGAAATGATGAACCACCTTGCCAGTTACTTATTCTAGACTGAAGCAGAACCGAGGCTAAGGAAGCAGGTTAACAAGCGAGTTCAAATACCCTGCAGACAGGGAGGGCTGATGATGGTGCAGGGTGGCAAGAATTCGGGCAGCAGAAGGAGGCCCTTTCCCCTTTGTTTTCATCTGAGGACATCTGCTCACTCTACCTGAAGCTTGACATGGCAGGGAGTGGGCTAATGAAATGAGCATGAACACAGACTGGTTTGAACAGCACAAAAGACAAATGATTTTGGCAGACACTCTCCAGAAACAGTGATCAGAAGAGCTGCTCTTGAGAGCATTTCCTCCATCCTTTTTAGCTTTGTTTCTACTTCAGGTGTTTGAGTTAAAGTAAGAAAATATATTTCCTCCTGAAATTTGATTCTTACACATTTGAGTGTTTTCTCATAATGGACACATTTCTGATTGACTCGGCCGTGTTCTTCAGACAGTTCATACAGTCTACCTGTGCAACACCCATTCTCACCCATCAGAGTAATACTCCCAGGTCCAGGTATTTCACGAGTTTTCCAGAAGCTCAGGATGTGAACAGACTGACACCCAGGTCAGTCCAGCACCATAACTTCAGAGGAACAGTTCTGATGTAGCTGCTTATTTCTGGAAGCACTGATATTGTCAATTATGTTTTATTTTTTTTTAGCAATCACATTCAAACTCAGCACAGCCTTCTGTTAGGCCAATATTCCCACTATGTCTTCAAACAGATTTGGTTCCCCGCTTAGATAAAACTCATCTTATGTTAGGTTTTTTTTTTTTTTTTTTTGTAAATTACACTTTTTAAAAACAAATTTAACTTAAATTACACAGTTCCAGGATTGAAAAGGAGATCAAACCCCTTGTGTTTCCATGTTTGGCTTCCTCTATTATACCCAAAAAGAATATTTTTACATATTTTTATATATATATATATATATATATATACACACACACACACACACACACACACACTATTTCTGAATCATTTCCTTAAAAATGGAAAGAAATTCAATAATCTATTCAGGCCACCCATTTTCAGTCTTTCATGGCCCTGGAAAATGTTTCTTTTCCCCTGAAGACTAACTTCAGTCTCTATGTTGCCATATTTTTACAGTAATCCAATCAACATCAAGACATGCTGAGTTTGCATAAATGCCCCACCAATCCCAACCTGCCACTCAATAAGCACTCATTCCAATCCAAACTGGCTTGACCACAGAAAACCTTTAAACACTCTACAAAGAGTGTTCACATGAAAACAGACAGCAGACAGATTTCCAGCAGGCAAGGCCTTGACGATGACTGCAGGCAGGGTAGAAACCACACAAACAGAGCCGTGGGCCAATGTGGTCTTCCCTTAGTGACAAATGTAAACAGGATGCAGGGTCTGTGATAAAGGCTGGCTGTGGAGATGTGCTGATCTTCAAGTTACCCTGACAAGCATCTCCCAGGGAACACTTCAAATCACACAGGGACACCAAAAGACTTCAGCTAAGCAGCAGACCCTGACAAGGGCTGAAAAATTAAATGTCATACTATGGAGAAGGGGCAGATAGAAACAAGGAGAAATTAAGTAATAGAGGGTCTATTAGGTAACAGTGGAGTACTCAGAGTTATTGAGAAATCAAAGAAAGTTTATGGGGGTTAAAGCTAGCTCTCCAATCATGACTCAAAGTACCCTCTGATGTAGCACCCTAACAGTGGAGGTAGGTCCTGAGAGATTTTCCTTAGAAAAACACTGTCTTCCTGTGCCATCTGAGTCTCATAGGAGACTTTTGCTCCTCTTAGCAGATCGTTTTTACTAGGTTATTCACAGCCATTTATAAAAGCTTATCTGCCTTCTTTGAGAGTTCCAACGTGGCATTAATTATGTCTCATTCTGCTCAGAGTTCACCTGTCTCTGCTGATTACACTGATGCCCAGTGGGTAACTAACCACAATAAAAACAGTGTCAAGCTTGCCAGAGTGAGTTGGTTGAGAGAGTTAATAACAACACATTTATAAACTTAAATGTCCTTGGAATTCAACTGGTTTTGTTCTTCCAAGTAAGGCTGCTTTGCATCATGTTCCCAAAGAGATTGAAATAAAATAAGCTCTAACAATTGGTGGTGGCTTTGAAAGTGTGCCCCGTGAGCTGGGGGAGAGCTTCAGAATGGACATTGCTAAGATTTTTAGTCATCAAGGAAAGCACAGAAGATATAACCATCTACTTAACCTAGCAAAGTGTCACTGCCCTCTACTTTCAGGCTTACATGGACTCAATTCTGTGAAATTTTCTTGGCCCGGAAGGCTAAGCTTGTTTTTATGTCTTCAAGAGAATGGATTACGAATGTAACAGAGACCCAGTAAAAGATTTGCTATCAGAATACTGCAAGAAGGACTTCTTAAGCACAGCATTCAAGAGGATGCAGCATCCCTGCTCTACCACTCTCAAAGGGATGTCTTCCTCCATATCCAAGTTCACTGGCGCACAGTGACATGATAAGAAATGCTCATTCTTTTGAAGGCGATGTGTTATTAAAGGTTATTAAAGGTCAAGTCTATTGATAAGGCCTTCTGAGAACTTTACCTCCTTTCAGGTTTCAAGTTCAACTTCATCCATGAGTCAACATCTAGAATAATGAGAATCAACTGCAGACAGCAAACATGTCTACAGGGTAGTGGGAATGAAGAATCTCTTACTGTGCACTGTTCAGTGCAAGGAGCTGAGAAGACGTAAGCTCAGGATGCTATTTAAAGCCTCAATGCTGGTCACCATCACTGGAAGACTAGCCAGAAAGGTGCCTGTCCGATGAGCCTCAAGGAGCTCACACAGCTCACGTGGCTACTCACCGATGCTGATCAGGTACCAGGTGAGGGGGCCAGACCCGGGAACGGAAAGGCTGCTGTCCTAGCTGCCGCTGTAGGTCCGGTGGGATCTCAGCTGTAGGGTTGGTCATGGCCAGTGTATGCCTTTTGGACCTATTTGCCAAGTACCTGCAACAAGCAGGAGCACATTTCATAGTAAAAAAGACAGACAGGAATATTCCTCAGCAAGAAGCACAGAAGTTAATCCAAAGCACTCTGAATGAAATAGTGCCAGAGCTCAAAAGGGACTCGATGGCAAACAGATCCCTGACTGGATGAAAGTGAAATATATCCAGCTGGCCAACAGAAGTTGGCTTACCGTCGAGGTGGCTGACTTTTGGATCTAAGAGTAGCCATTGAAGAAAAGAGAGAAAGCAGAAGTAGCTCACAAAGAGGATCGATTTTCCTTACATTTCCTTCAACAGAGGAATTTACAGCCTACTTGATTTTATTCCTCTTTTCCCTTCTATTTTCTAAAATACAAGTCAGAGGAAATGAACCTGCAGGATTATCCCCAGAGATGAACCCTGGGAGATACTCAGAAGGGCTCCACATACATCTCTTGATCCCATTTGTGCCCCCATGTTTTGAGACTGTCCTCACTATAAGTCACATTAAACAGATCCTTCCATTTGGGGATAAGCGAGTTCCAAACCCCCCCCCAACCCCCTCTGTGCCCCAAGATTATAACCAATCATCAGAAGAAAAATAAATGTTGTCCCCAAGGAACCAACATTCATTAGAAGATGAAGAAATGAAACCACATGAAATGTCTAGAATTTCTTTCAGGTGGAAAAAAGGCAAGACAAGAAAACAAGTTTCAAAGGCTGAAGAGTTTGCAGGGTGATGATTTTGATTCTGAAGGTCTTTCCGATCTATCACTGAGTCGACACTGTGAACAAGATGTGGGTCCCCTTCCTCTGGGTGATGACTCCCTCTCCACAGCAGTTCTTCTTGGCCCTGAATAAAAGCAGCAGTGTTCCTTTTCATTACATCAAAATGGATGGTCCTTTCACCCTTCAAATGCGGGTGGAAGGAAGAAAGAAGGCGGAGCAGGAGGAAAGAGTCCGAGACAAGGAACATGATACCCTGCTGTCTAACTGAGGTAAGAAGACAGCGGTTTCCTCATTTCTCTTTTCTCCACAACACCAGCAGGGTGCATTTGCAACTTTATAAGACTCTGTTGTCAGCAAACTACGGACACAGCATCAAGAGGAAACAAAAAGTTACCCCGATTTTCTTCTGCTGGCTGTGCTGTGGAGGGGCCGACCCGCCTGCTAACACCCCCGTCTCTTTAATATGGGGCCAGCTTCCTTTTGAACAGCAGCTCCCATAGAGAGCTGCCAGGGTAGGGACAAGTGCTCTTGTTTCGTTCTTAACTACTTTGCCCATGGAAGCTAAACACATTTAATAGACTGTAATTAGCGGTATGTGAATTTGCCAAAAAGTAAGCCATTAGTGGTTTAATAGCCATTTGATAAAGACACCCAGTTTCCCCAAGAGCCCATGAAAACCATTTTATTTCAACTTCCCTCAAGGGAAAAACATATAATCTTGAAGAACACCTGTATTTCTGGGAAAATACATGCTGGATTCTGGTCAAACCCCCCACCCCAGAAAAAAAGAAAGACAACTCCCGAAGGGGGCATGCAGGAGCTGAGGACCACGGCTACCGGGACTGAGGTAAAGAGGACAGTACAGCATGCCTGCTGGCACGGGCGCATCCTGTGAGTGAGGCATCGCTCAACAAGGTTCTGCAAACAATGGATATTTGCATCTGTCCCTGGCCCGAATCCCATATTTCTTTTTCAATATCTCTTTGTTGGTACAAGGGGATGGAAGAAGCACACAGCAAACAGTACAAGAGGTATTCCTTCTCCTGGAAAGGAAGCGTCCATGCCAGAGGTCCATGGCCAGACTAGCTAGGATCACTGTCATCCCAAATCGCCAATTCCTTTTCAGTAAACAGTTCTTGGCAGGTAGGAGCAGGCTTTGTGCCTGGTGAACACTATCAGAGTTGCAATATGAAGGCAGGGGGCAAGGAAGGAAGGAGGGAGGAGAGAAAAAGTTCTTATGGTTATTGCTGTCACTTAGGGGACTTCCAATGGCGCTTACAGAAATGACATTTTCTGGGTAGTCTTCTGTTACTTCCATGTGGGGAGGAACATGCCATCTGGCTTGAGCAAAGAGACCACACAAATGTTGAAGCTGCACTGTACCACCTCCTTGGGCAGAGGTGACCTTTCGCTGGTTGCAGGGGGAGCCTGCCCAAGGACGTTCTGCAAGCACGGCCAGATGCCACATTACCTCTGCACAGCTTCCTGATCTGGCTCCCCATCCGAGCTCTCCTCGTCCACAGGGGTAACTGCTGGCACTGCCTGCAGAGAGACAGGAAGGAAAAGCTCAAGGTGGTGCTGCTTTTGTAATAACTCTAATTCCAGAAGCTAGACTTGGAGCAGAACTTGCTGTTCATTTTCCTATTTACAAAACTTGTCCAAGACCCCTTGGTTACACAGAACTCTATGTACTTTCTATTTTCATTTTCACCTTGTTCAGGATATTTTAATTTGGATTTCTTGCTCTGATTCATCTTTATTCAGTCATGCAGTCATCCAACAAAGAGCTGAATGCCTACTATGTTCCAGGATTAAATGTGACTTAACAGAGCTCTTGCGTTAATTTTGCAATCTAATAGAGGATACAGATAAGTAAACAGACAATTGCAGATAGCCAAGTCCTCTAACAGGAATGCCTGCGAGTTGAGGAAGGCATCCCAGAAGAGGTGATACCTAGCATGACACCTGAAGGATGAATAGGAGCTAATCAAGCAAAGAGGGAGAGGGATCATCACAAGCCCCTAGGATTTCAAGGCTAAGATAAAAGAGAAGGCTGGCAGTTGTTGCAGGATCTGAAGAAATAGTAGCAGCTTATTTGCCTGGAATGTCTAGGAATTGACCTACTGCTCCATGTTAATGTTGTTTCCAGAGTTTAGAAGTCTTCGATTCCAAAAGAACACAATGGTTTTTATTAAGTACATTTCAGTACATGTAACTGTTATTGCGGTTCATTGCTTCAACACAGCTGCTACCCACCAATACACGTGAGCGAATGAGAATCGCCAGAAGGCATCACTGTGACTCTCAAGAAAGGAGCGCGTGTGGCCCTGACAGTCACTTGCCTCCCGACGGCTCACAGAACTCTCACCCTGCCTCAGGCACCAGAGTAAAAACTCGTACTTCAATTTTCACAAAAGGGCATTTTCTTCAAAGGATGATAATTATAAACAAAGAAAACTTTTGAACTAATGCCACCGTTTCACTGCTTCTCGGGCTTCCAGCTCTCTTGCTGCAGTTCTACGAGGCTGGACTGAACAGGGTCAGGCAGGAAGTGGCTATCGGTGAGGAGCAGAGGAACACTGTGGCCAGTCAGAAAGGCCTGAATACCACAGTAAGAAGTTTATTTTGGGGAAGGGCAGTGGTGAATCACTAAAGGATTTTAAGCAGGGACAAGATGTTACAAGATTCATATTTTAGAAAGCCAGCTTGTTTTAGTTGCAGTGTGAAAATGGCTGGTGGTGGAGATGAGGAGACAAGACAGGAAGCCAGTGAGGAGGCTGGCATTAATCTAGGCAAAGGGTGAGTGAAGGAAAGGGTGGTAGCGGTGGGGAGAAGTAAGGTATTTACTTCACAAGCACTGGATAATTGATTTGGTATGTGGGCTACGGGGGTGGGAAGAGTTAAAGACAAAATTCACAAGCCTAGCTTGTGTCACCCGGAGAATGACAGTGCCATTCACTGTCACCTGGGGGTGAAACAGCCTTCTTAATCAGGAGAAGTTCATTTTGGGACATGGTAAATTTAAATTGTGAGCACTAACTTTGCAGTAGGCACCCAGAAGTGGATAACTCAGAAGAGCAATCTGGGCAGGAGAATCAAATGGGAACTGAAATTTTGGGAGTGGACTAGATCATTCAAAGCATGTAAAACGGTATGGAAACAGGGCCCAAGATAAAACACTCGGTTTTACCAATTTCAAGAAACAAGCAGAAGGGGAATCTGAAAAGGAGAGGCAGGAGGAAAACAAGGAGAATGTGGACTCACAGAAGCCAAAAGGAGACAATTATTTCAAGGGGAAAAAATAGTCAACAGTGACTATACAGTTGTAAGGTTCAAAAAGATAAAGATTAAAAATGTTCACTGGATTTATCAACAAAAGCTTGTTAATGACCTTGGCAAAAGCAGTTACAGGACACAAAACAAGTCACTCCACCTTCCCTAGAAATACTCCTGATCCTCCATGGCTGACATCGATCTTGCCCTGAAAGCCTCCTCTGCCATCACAGTATTCACGCTGACACTTAACCACAAATGTTTTTTATTAGTCCACCTTTACGTCTGTTGATCTTGTCTCCCCATACCATAACCTCAGTGAGGCCAAGAACTATGAATATAATTCTTTCCTTTTCTCGACAGCATTGCAACTGAAAGCGTGGCCCCAGGGACCCATGCCAGTGCAGACTTTTGTTACCATTCTGTGACAAGTTAAATATAGAAACGGCGAATGAGTTTTCGTAGCAAGTTGACAATTTTGTCTGTTAAGTCAAATAAAAATTTAGTCTTGTATTTTGTATGTTTAAAATTTTCCACTTCTCTACTAATTCACTTTGACTTTATTGTGCAAAGGCATTAATCCTCGATAGACTGAAGAGTGAAAGAAAGGTCCTCAGCTAGAGATATTATGAGCAGCACTACTCTAAACACCCAGTAAGTTCATGGATATAACCAGTACCCAACCTTATGGTACGATGAGACTGACTGACTGAATGAATGAAAATACCTATGACGGGAGATAAACAGACCCCTGGGGAAGAAAAGAATCTCTGACTATGACCAGGTGACTAGGTTAGAGCTTGTGAAAGCCAAATAACCAAGGGATCCAGGTTGTATCCAAATGTGGATAATGCTGATCAAAGGAAAGAGGATTAGGGAGAAGGCAATTTTGGAAACCAGTCTGACATAGCTATTAGTTACAGAGAAAGCTATCAGATTCCATGCCCTCTGTCAGGAGAAGGCAGTGAGCTAGGCCCTGCCGCCTGAGTCCAGGCTAGCTGGACTGCAGCTGTACCTAACTGGGGCATCTAAACTGGCCCCCGAAGAGGAGGCTGTCCAAGAGCAGGCTGCAGTGTAGAAATAATTTGGTTAAGTAAAGAGGGTAGCCAAAAATGAAGTCAGGAAAATTCTACAACCTTTAAGAAAATGGGAAACATTGAGCATCGTAAATTTAGACAAAGGAAATTCAGATGTTTACGTTGGAGGCCCTGGAGCCCCTAGGCCCACAACCTCCTTAGCCAAAGCTACTTACTGGTGTCATGGTGACAAGTGGGGAGGGTCCCCGTGGGCGCTTCAACAGCTGTTGGGCATGTAGCTGGATGTTGGCTCCTCCATCTGATGCCCTCCGGCCGAGGGGGCCCATTCCATTCAGCAGCTGTAGGGTGGGCGGCTGTAATAGGGACTGCTCCTATTGGGCGTGGAGTGGGAAAGAGAGAGGTGAGATGGGTGGGTGGGAGAAGGAGCAGAGAAAACAGCAGTTTTCTACTAGTCTGCTGAAATGAAGGAATCCTTTGATTACGACATAGACTAGAGAAATCTTCCCTCCTCCCAAGCTGCTTTGTAAGAGAAATCAAGAAAAGGAGACCCTTAAATCCTGCGGAAGGTCACCCAAAGTCCATCAAAGGAAAGGAAGCTCAAATGTGTTTTCTGGGACAAGCCCTCTCCCATACGCAGGTACCTTGTACTCAAGCTGCCCAGTTGGCTGCAAATTTTGCATGGGCAACAGGTTGTGCATGAAGTTCATATTCGGGGCAACCTGCAGGAATGGAGCCTGTGGGTTGACGCCAGGAAAGCCAGGTAGGAGCTTCTGCAGGTCTTCCATAACTTCCGTGCTGACAGAAAACAGGGTAACAGAGAAGTTTGGTTAGTAGTCTCACTCAAAAGTGCTTATAAGCCCAAATTGACAAAACTGTTACATTCAGTACAATTTTTTATTTTATCTTTTACTTTCCTCCTCAGTTTGTAATACTAAGATGGGAAGGCAATTAGAAACCTAGTGTGTGGAATCTGGCTCTCTGCCATATTACTCTTTATGCCTGGGCATTGCTGTTTTGCACTGACCACTCATGAAAAACCAAGAGCTCTGGGCCAAGAGGAAATATTGGCTCCAGGCCAGTTCAGGTTTTCAAAGCCTGGAGGTAAACAGCAAGCTTCTGGAGGATACAGGCCATCCAGTAAAACAATGGTTGCCCAAAGTAGCAACTGATTCACCAGGGAAAGAATGCAATTACTCCCATCAGTGCTAAGGGGACAGATAAGTGTGGATGCACAGGGCTGTCAAGCCCTGACAGCAGGATTCACAGCATACTTTAAAATAAGAGATCCTTCCACTAACAGAGAGACATAGGACTCCACCCCTTTGCAGCTGACACAATCTTTGGAGCCAGAATGTTCTCTAGTGCCTGTTTGATCATAGGCTGAGAACAAGAAATATAAAGCAAGCAAATCAGCAGGCATGGGAGGTTTTTTTGGAGATCACTCAGAAAAAGGAGGTATTTATAAGAAAACTATTTGCCCCTAATTGAACTCTCAGGAGAACTCTTGCCACAAACTTTTCTTCCCTACTCAGCAAATATCTAGAAAAGAGGCAAGGCTATTTTTAATGTTAAGAGTCTTCAAATGTAGAACAAAAATGGGGAGAGCTGGCTTTCAGCACATTTCCCCAGTGTGAGGTCACTATACTGACAACTGGTGAAACTGGTACTTATTTGGTGTGTTTTTTGACTCTTGTTCACTTAATTTTTAACATATATAAATTATACCATATTTATCCTCACTTCTTAGATGAGTCTTGTTCTAGAACATGCAGCAAACAATATCCCTAAAAGCTGACAAAAATCAATGAATTTTAGAGATGCTCGTCTGTGACTCTGAACAGAACACCTTCATCTTTGTAGACAAAGATGCTAGCATATTCTCCAGCAAAGTATTATGATTAATTGGCAGGGTGATGGCTCTCAATCCACTACCCATGAGGCATAATTTTATAGTTCTTTAGTCAAATGGAGTCTGATCTACCAGGGACCCTTAATGAGGTTAAAAGCATGTCTCAGTCACTGGAATAGATATCTTCTGGGGGATCCAATGCAGAAGGAAAGATGCACCATGGCAGGAACTCAGTCGGGGAATTCTTTGCCCTGCTGTTGATCAGGGCGGCAGGCAAATACTCACCGTGGGTCAGCCACACCCACTGTGTGCCTCCTCATTGACAAATAGCGGACCAGTGCTTCAGGGGAAGGTTCTTCACCCTCATCACTGTCCAAGTTCACGGTCCCATCCGGCTGAGGTGGAGGGAAACAACAAAATTGGAAATAAGAAGTAGAAAAAAGAAAGAACGAATGAAAGAAATAAGTAGAAATCTTGTAAGGAAAGGCAGCATGGCCATGGGGAAGGAAGTGGTTTCGGCTGAGGACTACCAGAGGGTGGCCACTTACCTCCACAATTTGGTTCTCCGGGTTGATCAGCTGCACCTGGGGAACGCTGATGTTCATGGTGGCACCAGCCTGCTCCGCCTGGAAAGGAACACATGCATATACATCATGGAAGGAAATAATGACAGGCTTTCAAAGCAGTCTTGATTGCTAGAGTCTACATATCTATGTCTACAGAGTCTTTCTCAATGACTCTCTATTTCTTAAGAGAAAACAAAAAGCAAGCAACTATTGTTGCCCATCCCGAGTAGGAAGACCCTTCCATATTTTCTGTCAAAGAACAGTTCAGATCTTTGCTTGACCTCTGACAAGGGAGAGATGGTGGGAAGGGGAGAGGTGAGGAAAAGCAGGGAACTCTCACATAGGAAGCGATGGGTCTCCTTCCTGTCCCCCCCCCCCCCCCCGTTACTTATCCTGAATCAGGTCACTGCCCACCTGGATATTAACCGGTGCTTGAAAGGCCATGGTTCGGGGCATGCTAGGAGGTACTCCGACGCGCAGGGTTTTATGTCTCTTGTGTCGATCACACAGCAGGCTGTAGATTGCACTATAGTGATCATAGGCATCTGATCTTAATGACTACCAAGAGAGAAGGAAAAAGAATAAAAAAGGGTTGAGCAGCATGTCCAGGACCAAAACCCTGTCAACAGTAACATCAGCAGACCAACACCTTCTTTCCAAGGCCCACAGAGGACAGAAGAACAGGAGGAAAACAAAAAGACCAAGTTCCCAGGAAGGCAAAAAGGTGGAGAAAGTAGAACAAGGGAGACTGTGCCATCTCACTTTGCTCTCCACGCCTCTGGAGATACCTGTAGTGTCCGCTCTTTGTCCAATCCCATGTCCTCCATGGCCAAGAGGACATCCTCATTCAGGGGGTCCATCTGCCTTTCTTCCTTGCGTTGCTGGCATTCAGCTATTAACTGTAACATTAAAATGGCAAATTATCAACCCCGCAGTTAACCACGTCCTGTTCATGGCACATGTGCCATGATCAAGCTTGTCTATGCCCTTTAGCTTTGGATATCTTTGGCTTCAGACAAAGTCTAAACAAGACAGTCCTGGGTGCTCAGCTGTGAGTAAGCAAGAGTCCCATTTTCCTGAGATCCTGGGGTACCTGGGATGGCCATAATGGCTTAAATAAAAGCATGCTATAGCAGCACTTGAGCTGAGAACACTGAGATGACAGGAAGGAGACATTCCCAAGGCGGGTGAGCTGCAGACCTGTGAACCAGACTCACTCAAAAGTCAGGAAGGGACATCGATTTGGGGATAAGTATAGGAAACTGGTGTCACTTTTCTCTAACAACTCAGCTGGTTGTAAATTCCTTCTTGTTCGCTTCACTTGCTGTGTTAGTATTATACAAGTTTGCTCCTAGTGTCTGCCTTCTCAGGCTATGGCCTGATTACAATCTCATGCCAAGGAGACTGCAGCAACTCTAAGAAGAGTTCCCTGAGGCACATGGTGCCTAGCTCACCCTGTCAAAGTTGGGATCAGTGTCCCCGAGCTTCATCCACTTGTGCTTGCAGATCTGTTCCATAGACAGGCGCTTATTCGGGTCTAACACCAGCATGTGGCGGATCAAGTGCTCACATTCTGCAAAAGACAAAGAGCCTGCCTTTAGTCTAGGAGCGGTGGGCACCAGCAAGGCTGAGCCACTGTGGGTAGGGCAAACAGGCTGATTTTTAAGCTCCGTGCTTCTAACGCTGTCTCTCTTGCTCTTTGTTCCTAACCTGTGTCACTGCTTACTTTAAAGGGACTGGGCAAAGGCAGACAGAGGTAGAGAAAGGAGAAATTCAAATGTGGTGGTCTGATTAGTACTTTTACTAAATGTGACCAGAAAAATTCAGGGAATAACCCATGAATTTCATTTACTTATACTCTTATGCCTGTATATAATATTACATACACACTAACACGTGCAGATTAGGTGTCTAAAAGCAACCCTGCAAAACTCAGGGAATTTAAATTCCTGGTGTTCCAAGGTGAGGGCAAGAGAGGCACAGGAGGTCTCCCTATCACTCACTGGACTTTGCTAGGCTTCTTCATGATTTTCTCAATGCTGTTTGGATAGTCACACGTACACACAAACTCAGTTCTGAGCTACAGAGAATCGATCAAGAGATGTTTTTTTCAGAGGGGTCATCCTATATATTGTATTGCAGAAAGAACAATGGATTCAAATTCAAGAAACCAATATTCTGATTTCACAAACACTCTAAGTCATCTCATTCGTAAATTGGGGGTGCTGATGATGACATGGGAGCAATACTTGTGAGGAAGGTGGTGATGACAATGATGATAAAAACAGCAGCAGTATGCACAAATACTCTTCAGATACCATTATCAGTCCCATTTATTAAAGAAGAAATAAATTCAAGAGCATTCTCAACATCACAAAGTAACAGCAGAGCCGGGCCTTGAGGCCTATGCTCCTGACAACCCTTTATAAAGGTCTCATTAAGTTCTGTTTGATCTGTTTTTCAAAGTGAATTCAACCCTGCAATCTTATCATTTCTGCACCAAATGGCGAATGCCATTCTATACTACTGTCTTGAAAGAAATACTAAGAGTAATTAAGACAAATTACTCTTAATTTTTAAGAGTAATTTAAATAAATTTATTCTAAATTTAAAAGAAAATACAACCAAGTTCCACTGTTATTTTAGCAGGTACCACTTTGTTATTGCTTTATGATTAAAAATACTTAAATGTGGTGTGGATCCTGAAGCCCAAAGTTCGACATCCCTATAAAATACTATAAATGCCATCTATAACATTAAATTTTAATTAAAATTATATTTCCGGAGTAGCAAGGCTAGACCCCACACAAGTGTAGCATTTGTATAGATTATAAACATTATCAACACATACCTATAGGGTCTATAATTGCTTAAGCGAAGAAACCATTTCTCAGTTTACAAAGTTACTAAAGCTAAGACTCCCCTTTAGCGAGAAGGCCTAGGTCTGAATACAAAATTGTGAAATCGCTGTAAAGACCTCTAGATGGCACTCTTCTGTTTTCTTTTGGTTTCCACACAACATTTAGGGCATAAAAGTCCTCTATCAGCTGACCAAGGCCAAATGACATTCAGTCACAGGCATGCTTTAAAACAGGGATTTTAAAAGACATTTTCCTTAAAAACAACAACAAAAAGTCAGTCCTGCCTTGATAAATCCTGATTAGAAGACATCTAGTTTAATTTCAGGATCTTGAAATCTTAGTTCAGTCATCCTTAACCATCCCTTGGTCTCAGATGTCTTGAAAAACCTCCAGAAAAATGTGAATAAGAACTTATACACAAAAAATTGTATATAATTTTAGAATCTTCTCTAAGAGTCCAAAAAGCATGCCACAGATTCCCTAGACTGTCTACAGGCCCCAGGTTAAAAACTTCTGGGTGCAGTGGCAAAGCCTAAAGACAAGAGCTTTCATCATCTTGGATGCCCTGTACAACATCCAGCATGCCAAGGAAGGGAAATTTAACACTTTTCATATGTTGCACAGATGGTAAAATATGACAAAATGCAGAAAGCCTGAGTATTATCAACTCTTAACTTCCTAAGTGTCACAGGGCGCGTGAAATCATGTTCTAGATTTGAAAGCACCAGTCTACGTAAAATATGGGAAGAGGGAGAAAGCAAGGAAATAAATGGTCTCAAGCCTGTAAGATAATCAACCACTGGACAGTCAATTAAAATGAGCGCAAAGATGGGACCTCAGATAAAGGGGTACAAACTCCGACTTTTCCAGACGGCAAGACTTAATTTTTAGACATTCCATGTGAATCTCTAATCATGTGACCCCCCCCTCGCTTGTTCCCTCCCAAAGGCAGAGCCTTTGATACGGAATGCAACAGAGGCACTGTGGGCCGTGCAGGAATATGCTGCTCTGCTTGTGTGTGCCAGAGCAGCAGCTCCCCTTCAGAGGCTCCTTTCATCTGCTCAGAGCAAGACGCCAAGAGGTCTCCGCAGTGAAATCACTTGGGCCGATGAAACCTGATACGCCAACAGAATGTTAAATAGAGGATGCACAGCTAAGGCCCTGCCCGCACTGACAGGCATTTGGATGACTGTGGAGGGAGCTGCTGTATGGGCAGGGTCCTAAAACAGGAATTAAGTTGAGACTGCAAGTGGGACTCCATCTAAAAAGGCCAGGTCTTTAACATCTTTTTTTGACTTCGATAACAGTGTTTGCAAGGAGGCTGGAAGTATTTAAATCAGGGAAGGGGAACTGGGGGTGGGAAGAGAAATAAAGGATGGGTTAGGGAAGTGAAAAATCAACTTCAAATTCTCCAAAGTTCATAGAAGCTCTGGTTCTGGTTTCCCAGAGAGAAGAAAAAATAGTTTCCTGACTAAAACTTTGAAGATATGCCACCTGAAGGCAGGTTAGCGGCAATGAGGCCTATTTATATTGGAGAAGAGACAGTGTAGGTAGGAAGGGCATGCTGGGTGTCCTTCAAGCATCGAAGTGTTTATATTAAGAAGGCAAAATGGATTTATCCTGTGCTGCTCCAGGGGGCTGAACTGGGTTGTTGGAAAAGTCATGATTTCTTTTTTCTGTTTTTCAAGCAAAAACACATCATGACTTTTCTGACAACCAACAAAATAATCAAGAAATGAAGAGTACAGTTTTCTAAATAATTATTAGAGCTGATTCAAATTACTGCCTCAGGGCCCAAGGGATCTGAGGAGGGTCCCCCTCAGGAAGAGAGAGGGGACAGTCAGTCAGCAGGGCCACACTTGGAGCACAGCTAACTTTATCCATTTTATAGATGTGTGTGTTTAGGCTAAAATTTCACCTGAAAAAATTAAGTCCAGAAACAACTGGAAAGGATGATCCCGATGGTCCCCTTCAACTCTAAGGCCATGTAACTGGGAAGGGACTGGTTTGTCCTGTGCAGTAGTGCACTTATTGTCACTAGAATGCTTCATCATAGGCCAGTACTTGAAATGTCACCAGGTGCAAGGACGACTGGGGGGTCTGTGGGGGACAGAGACTATCTCCCTGAATCATGCAGCCCCAATACCTGTCCTCACATGGAAAAGGCCCTCAAGAATGCCAGCTGAGGGGCTCCCCTGGTGGTGCAGCAGTTGAGCGCTGGGCTGCAAAGCTGCCCTCAGCCACCAGCGAGGGTCCCACATGGTGCGACAGACCTCTCTGCCGCGCCTGCTGCTCCCCTCAGCAGTGTACTTCGTCAGTCTGCCTGTTCTGTACCCCACTCTGGCTCTGGTGAATTCTCTCACCCTCCCACGCTTCTGACTGTACCCAGTGCTTATACAAATAGAATGCCAGCTTCCAGAAAACACTGGATAGATGAGGGCTACAACCCATCCATCAACTTGGATAATTTGATTCTAAGAATCTACAGTAGAATAAGATCCTCTATGTTCCAGGTTTTAGAACTATCATTTTCTCTTTTCTTTGAAACAAATCTTTTATTTATTTATTTATACATACATACATACATACATACATACATACATACAAGCACTGGGTACAGTCAGAAGTGCAGGAGGGTGAGAGAATTCACCAGAGCGGGGAGCAGAGCAGGCAGAAGGACCGAGGTACACTGCTGAGAGGAACAGCGGGTGGCAGGAGAGGTCTGTGCGCCATGTGGGACCCTCCTCCAGTGGCCCGGTTGCAGCCTGGGATGGAACCGGCGCTGCAGAGGCTGCGGGCAGCTTTGCAACCCAGCGCTCAACTGCTGCGCCACTAGGGTGGCCGGAGAGGTCTGTGCGCCATGTGGGACCCTCCTCCAGTGGCCCGGTTGCAGCCTGGGATGGAACCGGCGCTGCAGAGGCTGCGGGCAGCTTTGCAACCCAGCGCTCAACTGCTGCGCCACTGGGGTGGCCCTGGAACTATCATTTTCATGTGGTACTATTTGGAGCAAAAGTCTGATCAAAAAATTTCCAAGGCTTCCCCATGCTTTACAGCTCTTGGTCTCAAACAGGAGTACTTACTGGATGATCATTTCTGAGGCTATACAGAATAATTTGTCAGTCAGGTCACCACTTGAGGAGACATCTGTATGTGGGCATAGTCATAGCATCAAGGTAATGATACAACAAATGAAAACAATTCTTGGCAGATAAGTCCGCTCCACAGACCCTGTGCATTTGACTGCAAGTGTAAACAGTAAATCTTTAGCATGTTGAAGGTGAGCATGAAAGAAGACACAGAGGAAAAAAAAAAAAAACACAACATAAGTCACAGGGAACAGGGGACTGTAAGATTGATAGAGCGATTCATTAAAAATATTATTTCATAGTCCACACTAACAATTATTGAGCACTTATATGCTAGGCAGAGTGGGAAACTCTTCACATTAATTTAAGCATTTAATTCACACACCAAGCCCTATTATTGCCATTTTACAGATAAAGAAATTAAAAATCAGAGAAGTTAAGAAAACTGATGAGATGATAAGAGGCAAAGCCAGCACACAAATCCTGGTCAATCTTCTTCCAACGGCAGAGATCTGAACCTATACAGTACCAAGTACTAAATTATTAGTGCTTTAAGCTAATAGCCAGGATATCTTTATAAAAACAAATCAAATCAATTTTACTACCCCTTCTGACAGAGCAAATAT